TCTACCATGATCCGAGTGATCTCGGATCACTGATCCTGATCCGGATGTTCCCAAAAGAACGCACCCTTAATCCCCTCTTTACGGATACCCCTTTATACGGACACCTTGTTATTACGGACAGTACGTTAATTTGCTTTATCACTGGGGATAGAAAGTCTTAAAGTTTTCTCTAAATTTTAGGTCATATGACGTCATATCGTTGAATTTATTGGCAGACACTTATAAATACAAACTTACTTTTTGCTACATTTACTTACTGCACTTAATATACACTTATAAAGCCAAAAACACTTATAAATGGTAACTGTCTAACAAAATCAAATAGGTAGGTAACATATTAACAATAGCAGTGGTGTCATGTTGACGTCATTTATTACTCAATATTCTCAAACTCATTAATAACTCATTAAGAAAATACAAAGGAAATTGGATCCACCATTTTGACTTAATTAGATGTATTCACTTTTCCCTAACGCCTAAAGAAATCGAGGTGATGGTGACAGAAAACAATAATAAATCTGTGTACAATATAGTGCTTAGAAAGCAAAAAAAAACAACAACAACAATAATAAAATAAATGAAATAAACTAAAAATAAGAAAAATCAACACAGTGTTGAAACTTGAACCCAATGGTTATTGTAGTGGATTTGTTAAAATATTGCAAAATTAAGCCTGCTAAAATGGAGTGCCAACAATAACACTCTCCTCGCTACAATTACCTGTCTTTGAAAACGTTTTGGAAACATCAAAAGCCATTACACTCATCCAGCAAAACGATGACAGCAGAGAATAGTGAAGGACAACAGATACCACCATGCAAAGGAATGGATAAGCGGTCTGGCCGGCCATCAAAAAGGCGGTGTGATAAAACAGCATGGAGCTTGACAAACTCATCAGATTTTTTCCAGGCAACGTTCTTAGCTCCGGAATGGTGATATATACAGCGAGGAGGAGAATCAAGGATATCATAGATATTGCACAACCCACAAATGTCAATATCTGCCTTCTCTTAAAATTTGCGTCTTCAGAAAATATGGTGGTCGTTTCAGTAAAATGCCGTGTAAGATTCATGCAAATGAATGCCCTAGAGCCATTTATAAAAAAACTTCCGTTGTCATATGTTTTCTTGTGCAGAGGGATCCATATTGAGCCATTTGGCCACATAGTTATGGATTCTAAGTTAATTTCGACAAAGCCAGAACCTTTGCTACATTTGTATCTGACGTAAGAATCATTGTTTGAGATCGGCCGATCCAGAACATACACTTTTATACACTTTTCTGTAAAGGGATCAAACACAAATCCGTGCTCGCATTTCTTGTTCTTCACCGTTGTCGTTGTTTGTCCAATTTTAACAGTTTGATGAGAAGAGGAGAAATCGAATAAGATATCCAAAGGCAGAAATCCACCCTCGGTGTCATTGTTCGAGGGTGGGTTTGGAGGCGTGTCACAATTACATGAAAACGCACTGAGGTCTTTTCCCTGACATATTTCACAATGAGGATTCTTGTACTCAATACTGTGACAAAAATGAAGAGCATAAAACGAACAAAGATAAGACAGCAGTAAATTGTGTGGTTCCGATGTTTTGCATGAAACTTTAACGGCTAAGCAGTTCTTGAGGTTTTCGTTAACAATCGGGACGGTAAAGCTCCATTTGCAGTTATTCTTTATGAACTCCAACATCAATGTTCTATTTTTTGGAATATCATGCTCTGTGAAACGCCCAATACAGGAGGCAGAAAACTTCCAGTACACTGGGTTTGTAGCGTGATTGCATCTGGCACAGAACATGTTCTTATATACACTGCTGTCGTCTAGGTCTAAGACTGGCAGTTCGAGAGATAAAGAGTTTGCAGTGCATAACGAGTCCAAATCCTTCTCAGAGTTGTCTGCCGGACAGCTCCCAATTAGAGCGTAGCCATGAAACCTTGTCTTGCTCGTCTTTACGCAAACATACCTCGAATGAATACTGTTTGGTGTAAGGTGCAGGTGAGCTGCACAACTAACAATTCAAAAAAAAAAAAAAGGCAATAATTATTATTAGACAACGGCTTTTTGAAGGCAACGAAGTCATTAGTACTCTCTCAAGAAGAACCTTTGCCTGAAATTCCTTATACCAGAAGCCGAGCCAAATAGTAAAATTATTCTCCTGGAAGGGAAAGCAAAAGAAGTAATTATGGAAAATTAATGTTATTCATTTTAGTCAACTGAATCTGCTGAGAGACTGAACAATAATAATAACAGTAGCAATGACAATGACAATGATAACGACAACGACAAGGACAAGGACAACAAAAAAGACAGCAGCAACAGCAACAGCAAAAACAACGACGACAATTACAATAACAATATCAATAACAACAGAAATGAGTGAGTTTAAGTTTACCGTAGAAAGTAGTCATAACAACAGTCACCAAGCTCCAGACATAGTTTATCGCAGTAGCAAGGTTTCTGAAGCATCCTTTCTTGAGCTTCTTTGTTGCCGTTCATAGGACAGACTGTTTCGCAAGTGTATTTCAAAGAGGGACATATGTTGCTCACATTGAATCGATTGTGGGTCATGTTTAGTCGTACAAGAAGATCTTGTGTGCTTATCAACTTGTCATAATATTGGATCACTAAATCTCCAGACACTGAAAATAATAAAACGTAAGGGTTGGTCAGGAATGCTTGTATTGGCATATTCTGTTATGATCCGTATCTGGCAATTAAAATTATTTCGCTTAGCCGGTTGTTAGTACATAGTTTCATAAACCTTATATGTACTTCTCAGTGGCGGGGCCGAGGCGACACGTAAATTACTTACAATTGATCTCTGCAACGTATCTGTATGTAAGTGTTGACCCTCCACTTGTCCCACCGAAATTTCGAATCACTTTATTAACTCGTAACGGTGACTTACTGGGCTTTATTGCACTTGTGTGCGGCGCTGAAGATGAAGCAGTTTCTGACGTTATTAAGGATGGTGGTGCTGGGGTGATTCTCCCTTGTGAGGGTGGAGCTGCTGGAGCATTAAGGCCTTGTGCAGATGGTAGCATTGGTGGTGGTGGTATGCTCAACGTAGACGAGGACGCCGTTGCTGGTCCAAGAAAAAGAAAAATCAGAGTAATCCAAACCATTCTCTGTTACAGACACTTCTGACCAGCGCTGAGAAACCAAACAGAGAAAAAAGCGAAGTTACTACGGGACGATCAAAGAGTTCGGGAATTAAGTGTAATTACTAGGTGCAAACTATACTAAATTATCTATTTTTAAAGTTTTTCTAATAGGTCAATCGAAAATATGAGATGGGAAAATCAATTTATGAAAGATCAGGATCATATTAATAGATATGTTCAAGATCCAGGCACAACATATCTAATTTAATAAAATGAACTAAAATGAAATAAAATAACCCCAGCTGATTTTAACGCGATCGCACCCACATTTAAGCTGTAGCAGTTAGTTTTGCAGTACAGAAATTGTTTTCGTTCGAGCCTCCATCCGAAGTTAATTGTCTGATTCGCCATTCGCCATTCCGGCGACATACATCCGCATGTGGCAAACTTACTTGTTATTTCAATAAATGAGTGGTCTCTCACAGGTTATGTAGTTGTAAAATTAACAAAGGCGTAGGATCGGAGGAAACTGGATTGAACGCAGTAAATTGCCCTTCTTCTCCACTGACTAAGCCTTTACAAGTAATCTCCTTTCAAAAACACTTATACGAAAAGTACATCTACTGTGTAAAACAGCTGTGCATATCAATTAAAACAAAATTTATTTTATTAATTTCAGGTGATTTTGTTGGAATAGAAAGTGACAGGTTTGAATAACAATAAGGTCACCGTTTTTATACCCTTAAAATATATTTCAAGAATTGCTATTATGGAATTTCTCTGATATCGAAAAAAAAGAACAGGGTATAGCTTTTTTTTTCCTTATATAAGGACAGCGCCTCTGACTTAAAGTGCATTAAGAATTTTGAATGAATTTATATCGTAGCTTTCAGCAAGTCAATGTGAAAACAGAATAGATGAAATATTCCTTTTTTTGGGCAATAAAATGAATAAAAGCGAATCAAATTTTGGGCAAAATGCACTTTTCCAAAAAAAAAAAACCAAACAATTTTACCTTGTCCCGAAGGTAATTTAATCATTCACCTTTGGACTATTTTGGAAAAAGCCGCCTCGGCAAGCAAACCTTGTTTATTTTCGTGATAGGCTTTTCAACAGCAAACACTTTATTTAATAAGATGTCCAAAATTTAGGGAAATTCTAAAATTGCGCCTTATATCAAACGAGCCGAAAGCCTATCACAGATGCTTCATTTTTTTAATTTAATTTAATTTTTATTTATTTATTTATTTATTTTTTAACATAACCAAACATACAACTAGTTATAGCTGTCGCTAAGTGCCAACGAGCAAAGATTTTACCTATACGCGCATCACATCATAAAAGTTACCTTACACTACCATAACATGTTACAACGGTTCGAGATTCATTCTGCCTTGGAACTTTCGCACACGGTTTTTATAGGCTACTTCCGAGTTCAAAAACCCTCACTTTCAAAATGAGGCCAAGGGGAAAACCTTTGTTGTGAAAATGAGTTTTATTTGCACGAGAATGAAAAATCATTTTGATTTTCATATCAAATGCTGAGCAGTTAACCTCGTTTTGATACCGAGGCCCGCGGGAACTCGGAAATGACCTATTATGCTGCCGCCTCACAGCATCGCGTCTTCGCAAGGCTGCTCGTTGGCAACAAGTATTTTAGGGGATTGCAATACGCTCAAAGAACAGCGGTGACGGCTAAGGCGACAACAAACATGTAATGCATTTAATGAGCAAAAGAGAACTTCTTCAAGTGCAGAGCATACATTTGGTACATTTCTTTGCTGCTATTTCACGATTATCACAACAACCTGAACTTTCCTAACTTCACGTTTAATGCAGCACGTAAAACAAGACAACTATTTTTTTCTCCTTTGTGCAAAGAATGGCTTTTATTTGATGAGGCAAAGAAAATGTAAAAATTGCGATGAAGCTTGTAACACTGAGATGATTCACTTGTAATGGTGTTCTTGAACAGGTAGTTCATGCCTAGGCCAAGCGTCTAACTTTTCATGAGACGAATCACACTTACAGAGTTAATGTCTTGAAAAGTTCGACGTCTTGCTCAGTTCCAACACGTTCTAATATCGCTGTTTGGTCCGATAGACTTGTCAACTTACTTTATTAGGACGACCCAAATTAGCTGATTTTGGTTCGTCTCATGAAAAGTTTAGCGTTTCCCGTAGGCTTTACTTACCTTCGGTCTGCGTAAAGTTTTGCCTTTTTCTCTATGCCGGTGGCCAGTTTTAACTTAGTCAGGATTCGAACACCAGATCTAGTTTCCAGATGGATTGAAAACATTCATTCTTTAAAATTTTCGAGTTAAAAACAAAACAAAATCGAACAGCTTTAACAAAAGAACAAAAGAACAGCTTGGCAAAAAATTGATTGCTGCTACAAGGTCGACTGGAATGTATAATACATTTTTTTTTTCTTACCTGTAAATTGAATCCTCGTTTTATTCTAAATAATCTACTACCAATGAGATTTAGAACCACTTAAGTCCAATTTATCAAGTTGGACTTAAAAGTTTGATTTTTGTGATGTATACTGTTTGTTGCGATTAAGTCACCTCATATCAAGAGTGTTATCTGTAATCGTTCTTTCATTATCAATTTATAGCTAATTAGGAAATACAAATAATTTATTGCACATTTTCGGTATACTTAACTCGCCCTATTTTTAAACTTTTGCCCTCCTTACCTGGAAAGGTTTTCTATCCGAATATCTGGAAAAATAAAATAAAATACCAATGAACAGAATGTCTTCCAACGACATGTCACTTATTATAAGTTTAATCGAATCCCTGGCGGAAGTTAGGAACTCGTGTGATATTCGATTGCTTCAATATGAAAAGGAAAAGGATTTTATTTTGAATGTAAATACGGTATTCGTATGTTTAATTGTTGAAAAACATGACCTGTTGTGACACTATATTTAATCATTTAAACTACTAGACAAGTTCGATATGTTTGTGTCTAGTCTTGTCTCACCCTTTCGTCCCCTTTAATTTTTCATCCTTTTCTCAACTTCGTTTCTGTAGAAAACTTCCAAGCGGCAGCCCCCTGAAGTTGTTTACCTTGACTTTGCAAACAGTTTTGAATTCTGTTTTCTTACCAATTTCATAACGACTTGTAATTTAATTTTTAATTTCCTGTTTCGCGACGGTAAGTTTTTTAATGCAAATTTGAAACTAATAAGGTATAAGCTCTCCACAGTTTTTAGTTTCTTTTTTGTTCTGTTTTTATAAATCATGACCTTTTTTATCATTTGTATTGACTGTTTATTTATTTTTTCTTTTGTTATTACAATTTTTTTGTCCATGAGTAAATGAACATACAGACAATCTACACCATAACTTGGGCTAAAATTCAGGATAAGTTCATATTCATATCCCTGACGTAGTACATCTTGCAGACGGATTTGATCCTCTATAAAACAACGATGCATATATAGTTTAAAATGGTATCACTCACCCCAACTTGAAACAAACCATGCAGCGAATGTACTAAACGGACCCAGTTGTGACCGATTCTAGGAATCCATACAAAAAGAAAAGGCTTATCCATACGTTGCTCACAAAAATACAAATCAAGTTTAATGACAGCTATCACTTGCTTAAAACATTATAATTACAAATATTATTATTATTACTACTTCTCTACTACTACTATTATTATTATTATTATTATTATTATTATTATTATTATTATTATTATTATTACAAGTGATACCGCTAAAAGCAGATTACAATTCTGTGTGATTTTGCTAAAAGGTGCCTGCTAAGTTCTTGTTGGAACACGGTCATCGCCCGTGTTCAAGCCAGTGTGGGTGAGAGAAATTAAAAAAAAAAAAAGGCAGGAGGCTTGCTGTCTTGCTAAGTGTCAGCTGAGAGCCCAGGCCCAGACCTATCCGTGGGTGGGTGGCTTCCTTGTTTTGTGTGAAAACCAGGGGGGTGGGGGGGGAGATTTTGTCAGTTTGTTTAGAGTTTTATGTAAGAAAGCAGCGCAAAGTCAGAGAATTTTTCCTGTGGGCTAAGCCAGCCAAATCAACTCGGTGACTCATAATCATAACACTACTAGCAGAGCTTGGGGGAAGTGATTGACTAGTCATAAGCTTCATAGGTGGGGAGGGTCAGTATTGGCTCCTTGGACTTGACCGTCTAGAGACTCAGCTCAGGCACCTTATATGAAATCCACACAGAATTGTGTTATACTATATAAAGCTTCGAGTTTAAAGCTTAGCTTTTTCGTCTTTTTTCGGTGCCGCATATTTATACGACCAACTCACTGCTTTTATGAAAATGGATAGATGAAAACTGATCGCTCTTTTTGATATATAAATCATGTCCAGTGACATACAAAGCATGTCAAAGAGAAAAGTATAATGAATTATTACAGCTGATACTTAAGCCGCGGTACAAGTCGATAAATAAAATAGATTTACAAAGAGAGATACGAACTGCTCTTATACTAAAAACAAAACAACAACTTAATAACAGCCTACAAACCACTAAGAATGAATGAATGT